TTTTGTGATGGTATTTCTCACAGCAGCTGTCATCTCTGACTCTTTAAACCTGGGCACAGCCCCTCCTATGTGATCCTGGACACTATCAGCCTCTTTTCACATGGCACTTGTCCAACAGTACTGTATTTGTCTGTTTGAAGTGTTTCTGTTTGGTTGGATGGTGAGCTGAGGCCAGAAGTGATGTCCTTTTTTTCCCTCTGTATTCCCAGCAGTGCTCAATAGAGATTCATTACATGGAAAAAAAAAAATGAATGAATGGGTGAATAAATATTACCATTCTCTTACTAGCCTTGAAGGCTTCTACTCAGTCTGCATGGCCAGTGTCTAGCCCGTGCCTGACCAGCATAGAAGCTCAATAAATGCCATAGGTTGAAGATGCGAAAGGCACTTTAGCATCTCATGTCAGATATTGTAACCACTGGACAAAAATGGAAAGATCATTTTTACTCTGTTCAAAAGATCCAGATCCTTAAGATGTCATCCCTCTAGTCTCCTTATCATTGGAGCAAGAATCTCAAGACAAGAGACTCCTTAAATCATTTTAGTACAATAAAAAGAAAGTCATTTGCAGTTGCATTCTCCCTGAAGCTGATCTTGCGATAGGGGTCAAAGTGCTAGTAGCTTATTTGGGAGGGGATCCTAGGAAGCATGGTTGGGGACCAGAAAAGAGAGCCAGGGAAGGGAAAGAATCCAGTACAGGTCGCATTAATGAACAGGGGGACTGCACTGGAGACTGAAGTACAGTGTCACAGCAGACCTCTGTGAGATTGTGTAGAACCCTCCTCAGAGCTGCCCCCCACCCAAGTAGCATGGGAGTTGTGGTGTTTACACTAACTCCGTCCTCATTATTTGGGGGCTGCATTCCCTGGCACTTCTGGCCCAGCCTGTGTTCAGAGCAGGACGCTTCTGCAGCCAGAGAGAGCCCATAGGAAGAGGGTCCTGGTGCTTGCAGGAAGACGCTGTTTGGATGCTGAGTGCTGAAAGAATTGAAAGGGACAGTGACGCACCTGACGCAAAGATTTGAAATTAGATATACGGACTTGGACTCAAGACCTGGTTCTATCTCTTAACTAGCGAGGCAAGTCTCTTCAAACTCCCCAGTCCTTGGTGTGCCCATCTATCAAGTCCTTTTCTGCTCCGAAAGCATTAGGATTTCATTCCTCCATGAAGGCGCACAACTTGAGATCACCGAGGGCATTCCTCGTCAGAGCTCAGTGTCTAGAGTTTCCATGTAGGCGGGCTTCCTTCCACGTCTCTTTTCGTGTTTCACACCAGTCATTGGAGCCGAGGTTCTGTGGGATCAGGTTGCTCTTTGCAGCTGATCTGTGCATGTGTAACCACAAGTATGATTCACACTTTGCCCTAAACCCTGGTGTTTATATCATTTGATACTTTGATTACTTTGTTCAAAGTGATCTCATTTGTTTATGAGCCTTTGTTAACTCCCCAGCCCCCTTGAGATCCCTCCTCTGCTATCCTCTGAGCAACTCGCCCTGCAGACAGAGCTACGTCCTCTGCTGCCAGAGAAGCCCAGGGAGGCTAAGACAGTCCCATCAATTAGTCTGACTTGTAGTTCTTAACAGAACCAGAGTAAATGAAAGAAACAAAACAAAACGAACAAAGTTTTGACCAATTCTGTTGGTAGTTACTGATTCGGATTTAGGTGTGAGATCCCCCATTATAACCTGCATCTTCCCCTCCTTGCTGTCGTCTCTCGTCCCTCCACCCACATCTTCATCTCCACTATTTTAAGACCGAATAACCACCTCCTAAAGGTTCCATGGGATGCGAATAAGTGTATCAGGGAAAAAAAGTTTCCGTAGTCCCATATGTTTGAGGCTGGAGTCAACAAAGTAATCTTTGCTGCTGGATTTCTCAGAGCCTTAATATGCTCATGTGCAATGTGACTCCTAGTGAGGACAGAGTGAGCGGCATTTCCCAAACTAATGTGACCACAGGACATTCTCTGTTAGCTGGATACATGCTCTGCAGAATGAAGCCTGGAAATGCTTTCCTGGATCGTGCATTTGCCACGAAACTAAAAAAGACTGATGCTTTGTAAGGCTTCAGCAGTCTGCAAGGGCTCAATGGATGCAGCAGGCTGCTGACATGGCTACTGCAAACCCCTCGCTTCTCTTGTTTGCTGAGCATCTGCTATGTTCTTGGTGTTTACCGCAGGAAAACAGCTTTGCTGGGAAAGATAGAAGAGAAGACACTCTCAAGGAAAAGGCTTCCTGATAAGGCATTTGGAGAGCCAGGGAAGAGGGGGCAGATTTTGGAGGCATCTTCATGGAGGCTAAGCAGCACTCACACTCCAAACCTGCCCTCAGCACCAGGACTGGCTTCATAATTGGCAGGGCCCAGTGCAAAATGAAAACGTGAGGCCCCTTGTTCAAAAATGACTAAGAATTTCTAGCTGATAGCAGAGCATTAGACCACGCATGGGGCCTTCTAACAACTGCACAGGTCACGACCCCATGAAGTTGGCCGTGCAATTTGTACCTGTGGCAGGAACAGCAGTCCTGGCCTCTACAGAACCAATCAGGTCATGCCTACCATCACCTTCTCCTCCCTCCCCCCGAGGGTGCTGCTCTGAGACAGGCTTTCTCCCATCTGCCTTGGCAGGAAGCTCATTCTGCCAGATCTTAATGAATCAGCAGCTGATCAAGCAATGTGTCTGGAGATTACTCAGAGGCAGCATGAAATGGTGGCTAGAAATTGGGGGTTAGAATCCTGGCTTTTTGCCCCTTACCTCTCAATGACGTTGGGCAATTTCCTGTTCCCTTTCTGTGCCTCAGAACCCTTCTTTGGAGAAAGGGGTTGAAAATAATGCCAGCTCTGGAGAAAGGATGGTGTGAGCAGCAGATGAGGGTAATTACACATGTGTAAACCCTTAGCAAATGGGCCACTGCTCCACAGTGTAAGGTTTTGCATTTACCCTCCTGGAGACTCAGTCACTCCTCTCATTTACTTGCTTATCCATTCATTCAGGTGGTATTTGGAGGGTGAGTAGGAAGGAACTAGCCAAAAAAGGAGGGGAAAGGCACTCCAGGGGGGAAATCACGTGTGCAATACCTGGTAAGAGGAGGAGTTGGTACAGGGGAGAAAAAGCTGGCATCTGAATCAGACAGCTCCCCGCTGTACCTTGCCGCCTCCTGGGTCTGAAGAAACTCAGCTGACGGAGAAGACTAATGGTGAACAAAGTCCATTGTGTTGTCTGCGGATTTTAATCACCCTTCTATCCCCACTGCACAGTAGCCCAAATAATTGACGGTTGGCCACCAACCAGCTTCAAGAGGTCCAACCTCCCAGTGCTGTAAAGCATCTCCAGCAATTAGGCTCAGCATGACAGTTGTTTCTGAAATGAGGAGCCGAATGCAGGAATTAATCTCCCTGATTTAAATCCATTAGTGCCTGTGATATACTGGTTCAGGCATTTAAGAGCCACTTCACCTCACACGGTCATGCCCATAGGGTCACAGGCTGACTCACGGTTAATAGTAGGGAAGACTTTAATGGAAGGGGAAGCTTTGAAGAAGTGCAGGGTGTGTTCCAAAGCTTGAAGGTTTAATGCATTTTTAATTAAATGTGCTTTAATAGGATTCAGCACCAACTATCATGTCGCTGCAGATAGATTCATTATATTTGTTCAGTTAATTACGCATGTGTTATTACCCGAGTGTAAACTTTGATGACCTGGAAAGAAGCTTGACTTCGAGGGACACCCGAGAGTTCTGCTGGCCCTTTCAGGATGAGACTGACTTGTTCCCTACCCTCCAGCCCCCATGTTTACTCTTGTGCACCCACACTCGCACCCACACGTATGAGCACATGTGCACACTCTTGCAGACACTCAGACATGTGTGTGCCTTCTCTCTCTTTCTCTGGTCAAAGAGGAAGGGATGGTAGAGATATTAAAATCAGGAAAAAAGTGTTCCCTGATTGGGCCCCATCCTGTGCCAGCTGTGTGTCTTCACACAGTGTGCTGAATGCTCCTGAGCCTCGGCGTTCCTCCTCTGTAATGCAGCAAGGGCAGCAATATTACAAACAGCGATTCCCTCCCAGCATGGCTGGCAGGCTCCCACGAGGTGGTGCCTGGAGAGCACGCTGTGAAATGCCCGGAGCCCTGCACACGCTGCTTGTGGGTGGTGTTTGTAAGCAATCCTACGAGAAGGCACCCAGTTAAGGCTCTGCTCTATAAACTCAGGGCCCCGGATCTTCTTTACCCTGAGTGTCTGCACACTGAAGCATGACCTCATTTACTCACCTAACAGGCACGCACTGAACACCCTCGGCTACCACTTCCTGAGCACCTACTACATGCCTGGCTCGGGGTCCCGGGCTTCCATGTGTTTCTCATATGTGGTCACTTCTCCACCAGGTGAGTATATACATATTAGAGATGGAAAATCAAGGCTTAGATAACAGATTTGTTCAATACTGTTTATTGGATCCTTATCATGTGCCAGCATTATGCCCCAGGGGTTGGGGATAAAGAGGAAAATGAAACAGAAGCGGCCCTTGCCTCTGTGGTCCTGACCTTCTCACAGGAAGTTTTTGAGAGCTCACAAGAAAGCTCACACTCCTGGGCCTTCGGCTTTCTCTCGAGTCACCTCACAACGTGTGTCTTGCAGTGGTGGATTGAACACTTCGCTGCCTCCTTCCCCGCAATGTGGGTTCCAAGTCTGGAGCATGGTGGAGGCGGCTGGGAGCCTGGAAAGGGAGTCCGACATATCCAGAGGAGGCCCTCAGAGATGTCCAGGATAGACCTCAAAGGCAGTGCCTCCCAGACTGTCATGAACTCACCACTCTCCTGGGGATCTTGTAAGGTGCAGGTGCTGATTCGGTAGAGTTGGGGTAGGAGGGCATGATGGCTAATTTTAAGCGTCAGCTTGGGTAGGCCATGATACCCAGTTGTTTGGTGAAACATCCATCTAGATGTCACTGGGAAGGTGTTTGCTAGATGGGATTAAACACTGAAATCAGTGGACTTTGAGTAAAGCAGATTACCCTCCATAATGTGGGTGGGCCTCATCCAGTCAGTTGAAGGTCCCCTAAGGAAGAAGGAATTCCACCTCCAGACTGCCCTGGGCCTCAAGCTGCAACAGCACCTCTTCCCTGGGTCTCCAGGCTACAATCTGCCCCGCAGATTCTGGACTTGCCAGCACCCACAACTGCATGAGCCAATTCCTTAAAATCTCTGTCTCTCTTTCTCTCTCTATATATATATGTACATGTAACATGAATATTAATTTTAATAATATATTTTAATTTGGATTAATTTATAATTTTAATAACATATAAGAAAAGTAAACTAATTTTAATAATATGTTATTTAACAGAAAATACCCTATTATTATTTCAATGCATCATCCATATAAACACACACGCACGAAACATATAGATAGATACACAGATATATGTGTATCTAGAGATATCTCATATATATAAGATGTAGATATCTTGTACAGTGTGTACATGTTGGTTCTGTTTCTCTGGAGAACTCTGACTAACACTGGTGATGGGAGATTCTACATTTCCTGACAAGCTCCAGGGAGATGTCAATCCTGCTGATCTGTGACTCAGACTCCGAGTTGGGTCATGGATAAAGATGATGTCTGCAAAGAGGAACTCCATCACATAAAAAGCCAGGGCAAATCTTAAAGTCGCCCAAAAGACCTTCAGAGGCTAGCTTTGGCTGGAGATATTCTGCTGTGTTCTCTCCAGTGATGAATTTCTGCCTGACCATCTGAATCCAACAGTTTGTCCAAGCTGGTGAGCCACTGGAGTCTCCAAGAACACGCCCTGACCACTTTTGATCTTGGGGTTTTCAGTTGTGTAAACACAGCTTTGCTCACACACTCACACGTCGAGCAGAAGCAGCAGTCCCCATGCCAAACAGCTGGAGGGAAGCTGAGAAGAGAAGCAATCAGCGTTGGTGCAGAAGTTTTCCAGCGGCCCAGATGTCTGGCATCCCACAAACACCAGTGAGGGCCCAGCCCTCCGCCACCCCTGACACCTTTGAACACCAGTATGAGCTGGGCGTCGGTAGGAGCGCTAAACAGAAATAACAAGAGGCGAATTCACAGCCATCGCAAATGCAATGGGGGGAAACGGCTAGAGTGAAATGTGCCTCAGCTTGCATCAGAAGGCATGGCAGCAAACCCACATGAAAAAGGAGGCGATTGGTGGGGAAGACGAGAGGATCTCAGCAAACGGTCTTTCTGCTCTCTGCCAGTGTGACTGTGTGAAGGCGCGGCAGCCACATCAGGTGAGAGGTGCCACTGCCCAGCAGCACGAGGCCTCGCCCTACTGGGGAAAAACGTGGAGGAACTTGTGATGACAAGTGCCCGGGGGCCAGTCCAGCACTGTCCAGTAGAAATGTAAACGAGCCATGTAGGGCATTTTCAATTGTCTAGAGCCACATTAGAAAAGTCGAAAGAAACAGGTAAATTCATTTTAATAATATATTTTAACAGAAAATACCCCAAGTATTATCATTTCAACATGCCATTGATATAAATACATAGGGATGAGATATTTTGACATTCACTTTTTTCACCCTAACTCTTTGAAATCTGGTACACTCACAGCATGTCTCGATTCAGACAGGCCGCGGGTCAAGGGCTCCTCAGCCACCATGTTGGACAGATCCATTCTGGATCTGTAACGACCAGCATCCCCAAGGCGGAGCACGACCCTCAAATTGGCATCTGCTGCCTGCCCCCCCCCACCCCGAAAAGACAACAAAAAAGAAAAGTAAATGAGAAAAAAATAATCTCTGGAGAATTAAGATGCCAGGCAAATCGTGTCAGGTTAACACCGACAGTGAAGTGAACAATAACAGTGGTTCCACTCAGGCAAGCGCCAAATAAGCAAACAGTCTTTAAATAAACAGAAATGGAGTATATTTCAGGAACGTATTTACTCTGTGGGTCACAGAGGAGGTTAAACAAAAATTTGTTTTAAAAATGTCTCCCGAAGGACTCCCTCTGCTGCGCTCCCACCTGCCTTGTTGGGAGAAGGGGAGGCTCTTGGGGGTAGGAGCCAGGCCGGCCTGCGGGCTGAGGAATCGGTTTAGGTGGACACCAGGGCCCCCAGCCCCTCCATGTGCCACAGCCGCTGCCGGCTCTTATAGTCAAGTGCTGACCTCATTGCAGATCCTCCAGGAGGCGAAACTCCGACTGGGAGGGGCTTTAGGCGATTTTCAATTTGGGGACTCCGGGCAGACACTGTGCAAACCTGAGGAGTGAGGACTGGGAAGGGGCTGCATCCCACACGTTTGAGTTGTTCATTCATTCAGTTAGCCACTCCCTCCCTTGTTTGTTTGTTCGTTCGTTCAGTCAGTCAGTCACCCATCGGTCATTCAGTCACTCAGCTGCTCCCATGGTCTCGGGTTGGCTTCTTTGGGAAGCAGACAGGAGGTGTGTTAGGGAGGATGTTGTAGTCGACACCTCGGGAAGGGAAGGGAAGGAAGCAGGACTGGGCTGAAGGAGACATGGCGCTGTCATGCAGTCTCGGTGGAGCCCTCAGCCCACCCAGGGAAGTTCTGAAAATGGGATGAGCCTTCAGAGGTCTCCTGAGCCACGTGGAGAGGGCCAGGCCTTCATATCCCGGTGCCGATCCATCATCGGAGGTGGGCTGTCCTGGGAAGAAGGGGTGACAGAGGGCAAGATGGCTTTCTGTCTATCGGCAGCACGGCCAGCATCTGGGGTCACGGGTCTTTTCTTCCTAAAGGGGCATTTGGGTGGCACATCTCAGTATCCACCACACACATCTTTTAATACCGTCACTCATTCATGCACTCTTGTCTCTGGGCTTCACTTAATAAGTCACTCATTCAGCCATATCTTCACTCATTTACATAATTTATACAGGCCTCTGCTCTGCTTAGAACCCTCCAGTGGCTTCTCTCAAGCTCTTCATGACCTGGGCCCTGGCTCCTCTGAGCCCTTGCTGGGTGAGACCCTCACCCTCGCTCACCATGTGGTGGCCACCTGGTCTTCCTTTCCTTTGAACACCAAGCTCTTTCCTGGTTCAATTACCATTGCACTTTTATTTTTGTCTCTGTCTTAGGTCCTGCTCCCTGGGAGTTTGCATGGCTGGCTCCCTTCCATCGCTCGGGTCTCAGCTCAGAGCTGCCCTCCTCAGAGGGGCCTTTGCGGTCTGAGGAGGACCGCCTCCTCTGCAGTCATTCTCCCTCTGTCCCTCCTCTCCCTCTCCCACTCTCGGCCCTGGACATTCTCTCTACGATCTCTCGCTGTCTGAAATTACCTGGTTTGTTGACTTATTTGTTCATTCTCTCTCCCTTCTCCACCGGAATGCAAGCTGCACGAGGTGGGGTTCTCATCTCGGTGTTTCTTCTTCCCGGTCACTGGAGTATCTGTAGAAGATAGTTACTGATTAATTGCTTAACTAATTAAATTCATTCATTCCTTCTTTATCCATATATTTACTCTCTTGTTCATGTATTAATCTGTCCGTTCACTCATTCATTCGTTTACTCAATAAGCATTTTATATACACAAATATTATCTATAAATATCTAATTTTATATATTACATATTTAATATATTTATATAAAAATATATGTTACATACACATAATATATATATAATGTGTATATTATATATATAAATGTGTCATATATTATATAAAATACACATTATATATGTATCTATGTATATATTTAATTATATATTAATAGGTATATATTACATGTATACACATATTATGTATATAGAATATGCGTACATTACGTATTTAATAAATATGTAACATATACATTTATATATAAATATGTAAATATATCACATTTACTATGAGCTCAATAGAAATATTCTTAGCAACATTATTGAAAATAGCGAAAACAAAATTATGTGAAAAAACAAGCAAGCTGGAGTAAGCCTGAGCTTTGCCCAGCTCTGGGGGCTGGCCGAGGAAGCTACGGTGCATCTTGAAGGACGTGAAGAACGCTCTGCAAACGACACCTGTTCTGACTTCGTGGTAGGGTAACAAGGAACAAGACCAACAGGTCCAGGAGAAGCAGGGAAAAAGCAAGTTTGATCAAAAGGCACGTATGGTAGGATCGCAGCCGGCACACGCATCCGCTTCTGGGTGAAGACCAGCAGGAAGCGTGTGGGCGCCAGTGAGCAGAATTAGTCTCAGGTAGGGAGACGGGGGATTTCATGTTTCCAGGTTTCCCTTCGGTACTTCGTCATGTTTCTCAGTATGGAAAAGATGCTTCAGAATCGTATGGCCTCAAGGCAGGACAGGATGAAACCTGGTAAGAAGTACTATTTATTTTTATAAATACTTTATTTATAAAGCTCCTACTGTGTGTCTAGTGCTCAAATGCATTTTTTTTATTTAACACTCAGAACAATCCTATAAGGCAGATAATATCATGTGTGTGCGTGTGTATGCATGTGTGTGTTAGAATAATGGCCCCAGAACCTGCAAATACGTCACCTTACAGAGCACGAGGGACTATGCTGATGTGGTTAACTTAATGATCTTGAGATGGACTGATTATCCTGGATCACCTAGGTGGGTCCGATGTAATCACAAAGGTCCTTACAGGAGGGAGGCAGGAGAGTCGGAGTCAACGATGTGATGGCAGAAGCAGAGGGTGGAGAGATGCAGGGCTACAAACCAAGGATGCTTCCTCTAGAAGCTGGAAAAGATGAGAGAACAGATTCTCCCCTAGAGCCTCCAGAAGGAGCACCAGTCCATTTTAGACTTCTGATCTCCAGAACTGTGGGCAAATAAATGTGTTGTTTTAAGTCTCTAAGTTTGGGGTAGTTTTTTCAGTGACAATAGAAAACTATTATTCAGTAGATACACTGAAGCTCGGCAAATCCAATAAGTTGTCCAGGGTGAGTGCACAGTTAGGACTGGCTCAGAGGTCACCAAATGGTAGCTCTTTGTTGCTCCCCATTGCCACCTCTCTATGGAGGGTAACTGAAGCTGGAATTCTTTGCTATGAATTATCCACAACATTCTAGATATTTGCGGGTACCTGGCTGCTCCTTTAAGTTTTAGGAGTTTAATTCTAAGGAAAGGGCATCTACACATAAATTCCTGTTTCTTCTTCCTTCCCTCTTTTCTTCTTCCCTTCTTCCTTCTCTCCCTTCCTTCTTCCTCCCTTGT